ATGTGTGAAAAACAAGCTCCATCCTGGTCAACACCGGGTTGCACGCAGGTGTTTTCCTGTGCACTCTAAGAATCGCTTTAAAACCTTTTATAGAAGGATAACGATTAAAACTCATTTCCTTGCCCTCCACATTTTGGACGGTCCACCTCGGAAGCTAATTTACGTCAAGATGTTTATACGAGCACAGTAGTAAATGGTTGCTGTGTGGTTATGTGTGCACAAACATACATAAACACACACCTGCTGCTGAGTGAAATCACAAACAGATGCATTACGCATCTACTGTAGCATGTCAGAGGTCTCGTGCACCCGGATAAGAACCCAGCCCACCCCTAATTACTATCAGATACACACACACACACACACACACACACACACACACACACACACAAACGTATACTAAATGGGACAGGGGGAACACATGGGAGACATTAGCACTGTCACTATGGCCACACACATGTAAATTACAACATGGCTTGAATTGACATAATATAGACATGATGGTGCTTTACTCATGTTAATTTATTAACCAGTCTGCGGCTTATGAAAAACTTCTTGTCTCTTCCCACTTAAACCCTGAAGGCTTTCACTCAACCCAATATAAAAACCAAGTGTTCTGCTTAACTGCACAAAATTGCAGACATCACAGGTAGAAATGCAATGATTAAACAATGTGTTTACTATTACATGTGGCAGCAGGGTATACAGTACCCCCTCCTCTCTGCGGCCCATAACGTATGCATGCATGTTTGCATACCCACATTACTGTATTCCACAAAGTCATGCATTCCCTCGCCAGCTTTCCATCTAATTATATATTTGGAAAAAACACATTTTTGCATGTAAAAAGAAGTTCCTTGAGAATGTGACACCCGACAAAAGTGTCAAAGTGCCATAATAGGCTGGTTTATGACACTGAGGGTCACTAGCAGCAGTTCTATAAAAGCAGTTAAATGTTGAAGCCTCTTGCTGCAAGGGTGTGGTGCACCAATCAGCAGGCTCATGCACTGCAAGTGACACTAAACACAAGACAAACCTTTTTTTTTTTCCTCCAATAGAAAAACACCCAAACTACAATCAGTGCAACAGTAAAAATTAAATGACATCACCAAACCTCAACAGGTGAACTCCCACTGCACCAGTCGCTCACATGACCCGAGACCAACACCAGCTGCAGCACTAAAAAAGGAAAAACTATTTTTAATCTACTAAAACACAGATAAAACAGTGTAAAGTAAACAGCAACCAACACTTAACCTGTGAATTGAAAACAGCTTATGGTAATTTCAGTCTAACCACAGGCAAAAACAATTTAATATTAATAAGACACTCATACCTTTCCACTGCTGCTAGACCTGGACTGTTATGATCTGTTACAAAAGAAACAATAAGTTGTTGGCGAACCACATTTTGTAATTCAATCATTTTGTAATGAAAAAAATCCAACAAATTTAATATTTCAAAAACAAGAAGAAAACCCCAGCTCAATAACAACTTTCTTAATTTGCTTGTGTGTGAACTGTGAGGGAAACAAAATGCCCGTCAGCGGTGGAATTTTACTGGAGTGGAGTTAAAAGCCAGAAAAACATCAAATCCATGCAACTGCTCTGAAAAGAATCAAATTGCATGTCTAAATTTTGAGGCGGAAAATGACCACATAAGAAATACTTATGTTTCACTTTTCACTGGGGCACACACCACAAAACACAGGAGATTTCAGTACAAAAAAAACAAAACGTCATAGTTGGAATGTTTAAAATGTAAAAGTGCAAGGATGAGGTCCAAATGAGATTCAACAGTGCTGTTAACAAGGGCAGAGTAGAGCCTGAAGACCATCCTCAAACAATTTATCATAATTCATTTCAGTAACAAGGCGAATCATGTTTTGAGAAACATCCAAGACCTAATAAGTAACTGGCACATCTGAGGTGAAAAAAGAACAACCCTGTTGTAGACCATGGATGTAAGAAATAAAACTCCTCTCTTACAAAATTCCTAGTAAAATGATTTCATCCTTGAGACATTTGTCATGTTCAAGGCATCTGCTGAAGGCCACTCAGACTAAAACACCCTTTATCGTAGCATGGAGATAATGGATAATAAAACAACTTCCCACTCCATCACCACACAGAGAAGTCTACAGCATGTACCTGTGGACGTGTGCTACTATGTCTTGTGTTACCTCACTTCCCCCTCTATGCACATAAACACTCAGCCTGTTGTAGGTCCATAACTCTACAGAAAGTCTCTGAAAAGAACCCACCATGCTTTGCACATGCTAACTAAACACATAATGTTCTCTCTTTAAATCTCGCTCCATTTGTTATTCCACTGTCAGGATGCTAAGCAGCACAGAGCAGCAGTGTTAACATCACACCACGGCACCCACTGTGATTTGCAATCTGCCCTCCTACACCCCATAAATCTACTCACCCCTTGCATACAAAGAAGCAGGATTTGTCTCATATGAGCGCGTGAATGCCTGCTCACACATTAATTTAAGATGGACAGCTTTGCCACCCACTAAATCCTGTGAACCTGGTGTGGTCCAACAACTACTTTTCTTTAAATTATGATGTGCAGAAAACACAGCCTTATACATGCATATTATCTCCTCCTCCTCTCCTGTGATAAAAGTTGTCAAGAATTACTTGAATAAGCAAAAGATGGAGGGCGAAGACAGACGAAAGGTTTACATTCCTCTCTGCAGCTCAACCTCACAGTCACAACATCATGTGAATGTATCAGTTTATTTCCCACCATAGGTGATTCGTCAACAGCTTGATATAGTTTATTTGACTTATTTTAACTCCTGTCTGTGGGCCTTTGTATCTGCTCGCCAGACCAAAACCAACAAAGAAAACATTGTGTGTGTTGGCTACCTGATCAGAGCTCTGCACACTGCAGGTTTTGATTAAACCATAGTCAGGGCCTACTTTTTACAGTGACACACTTTCCTTTTAGTTCAGTACTTTTTAAATTCGAATCCTCTCCAGTGTCTTTGGAGACGTTACACTGAAGGTGACCCACATTTACTAGTTAAGCAAATAAAATAGACCAGTGTCTCCATCTTCCTACACTTTCTGAGCCAAGACTGACAGCAGTATCCGCCCCAATATAGATATGTCTGCTTATACAAATAGCAGTGTTTGGAAAGATTGCCGGCCTTTGCTCAGGCACAGCAGTGCAAGACGGGGGAGATATTTTAATTAAGCCCTTCGTTTATTGTTGCAAGACACTGGAAACAAACTTCCTCTGAGATGCATAGAGTTGGCACTGCTAATGTTTGTGACATCCATGAAGCCCTGGCTTTCCTGTCTGAACCAAACTACATTAAAAAGGGATTCATGTCTTGCTGTGGAATAGACGTTTTTTGAAGTGGCTTATTGGATGTTGCCATTATGCAAGGTCTGGCTAGACTGCACACTGATTGCAACATAGAAACTCTCTTGCTCCCTCTTTAACACATAACATCTAAGTGGTTCCCCAACTGATTATGCAAAACACAAACACACAGTGTTGGGGAAACAACATTAAAAACTAGTTTGCCAATGTACTAAAATGTAGTTAAACCACCATCAAATTACAAAATGGGAAGTGATCACAATGACATCCTGACTTCTCATATTGTCATGGGTAGAACTGAACTGGCACTGAATAAAGCATAGGTGTTTGATTTAGGGATGAGAGCAGGCCAGTCCTCACCTAGGCAGCACAGGGATGTGTTTAAAGAAGAGAGTAAGGGGGGATTGTTAGGGTGGAATAAGGAAAATGATAAACTTTAAGGGAAATTCATAGTATTCAATTAGACATATAGGTTGCAAACCAGAGGTGGCTTCAGTGAAATTGCTGGTGACTGTCATTAAATGATAACCATGGCCAATGAGCTGTGGCATTGTGCCATACTGCATGAAAAAAAAAACACATTGTGAGAATAACATGAATATGTAGTCTGTAATTAACTACAAAAAACTACAAGTCCCAAAGTAGGTATCTCCTGAAAAAGCTCCTGAGATTTGAATGTGGTGTAACTGCAGCCCAACTACTGCAAATTGTAGCCAAACTAGTGATTGAACTACTCCCTAACACTGCAAACACAACAGGTTACATGCAAGGGCATAGGTTTGCATATGGACAGTGTATGTCCCTATCAATATTTTGGGAGGACATACTTGTCCCTACCAATAACTGAGCAAACTAGTTTCCATTATTGCCATTCTAACAGTTCTGTGCACAAAAATAACGGGACAAATGGCATCTCGTATTGATTCACTTGGGGAAAGTGCATTTTATTCTTGAATGCGGAATGATCACATATGATACCTGATCAGTAGTATTTTCAGTAAGTATCAGTATCCCACCTCTGATGAAGAGCAACGCAGTGCCGCTTAAACTTTGCCTCATCCAGAGAGAGTCCCAAACAGGGTTCTGTGTCTGTCAGACGGTTTGAAAGGAATACTGCCAAAGCTGCAGACCAATAATATAATGCACCATGGACTATGGGGCATTACAACTTTTTCTTAAATAGCCTACTGTGACTGAATTCTCAACTTCTCAGAGCACAGATATGTGGGATGATGCTGAAATATATATTTGAACAATACAGAAAGCCTTACTGCATCATATTCCATTATAGCCTAGAACTGAATTGTCACCTATCACCTGAATGTTGTGATTTCCTTTCCATAAATGAAGACATTTCCACCATAAATTGGTGCATAACACTTCACCAGAATGCAGGAAATGGATTGTTTGACGCTGAGAGGACCCCAGCTTCATGTGTTCCCACCAATGTTTGAAAGAAATCTTCGCCCTTGGTTACATGTCAAATTGTTTCTGTGGACTGGGGGTGGCTCAGTGAGCGCCTCTAGTCTCCACTGAAATAAGTGGTGTTATGGCGCCACCTAGAGGACCAGAGCAGTGCGCAGCTATGCACCAGCAGAGGGCGCTGTCCAACAAGGTAGCCATTGAACAAACAGCACAAAGCCTTCTCTGGCACCGGAAACCAGGAAGCTTTCACAGCAACATGACATAAACCAAAGCAGTTGTGTTGTGTAACTGCACGTTTTGTAAGTAATGTCTGTCAATATCTCTTCTACTCACGGTTTAATGTACCAGACAGCCAACAACATAGTAGCGTTAACTTCCGTCGTGTGAATGTGTATTTCTTGGTGGTTTAATACAAACCGACTCGCTGCCGGTTGCCAACACAGCTGATGATGTTCGGCTCACTGTTAGCTTAGCATGCTAGCCTAGCCACGTAAACAATGGACAGCTGTGGGAGACTTTAAATGTCCCCAACTCAACTTTATGTCAATGTTATAACGGTTTGCCTTACGTCATGTAGTATATTCTTCACATAGACCAGGTATTATAAATATTAATTTCCCCTTTCTAAACTTAAGTTAACTCTTATAGGATAATTAGCTTGAAGTCATATAACCGTTAAGATAACAGCTAACGTTATTGCTAACGACATAGTTAATTTAGTCAACAGTGAACGAGATTTCTTTGGATTCAGTATTAAGTTAACCCACAACAATTAAAGTAAAGCCAGGGCTTAGAAGAGACATACATCAGCAGATTGACATTTGAATGACACACTTGACTGACTCTGTTTACAGCTGTATCGCAATGCCTGTAGACGGTTCAGAGGACCAGGTGCCCTCCTCTCTCTCCAGCCCTGCCAGTGCCGCCCTCACCCCGGGAGGGTCTGAGGAAGATGGGGCCACAGGGGGCTCAGCTGTCAACTCTTTCCCTGATAACAGTCAGGGCTCCGAGGCTGCTTCAGCCTATCCTGTCAACACTGGACCTGGGGAGGGCAGCAGTGGTAAGCAATGCAATTCTTGCCCCAAAAGAGACTCATGCTGAACTTCATGAAAAGGTTTGAGCTGTCAAACTGATTCCTGATTAACATAACATTGTATTGTCGTCTGTGGTGTGGTGCAGGTGGTAAGAGGTCTGGAGCCTTGCTGCAGATTGACCGACAGCGTATCCAAGCAGCATCTGCCAGTTCTGGAGCTGATGAACTCCAGGGCCTTGGTGTGGCTGTGTATGACCAGGATGTCCTTGAGCAAGGTGTCTTGCAGCAAGTGGACGAGGCAATCCAGGAGGCCAGTCATGCTGCTGCTAAAGCAGAGGCAGAGAAGGAGTACCAGTCTGTGCTCGATGATGTCAGGTAAAGGACAATAACTGCATTAATATAAAGCCCTAAGATGGTTTCCCTTTTAGCAAATATGTGTGCTGTGTTGGAGTGTTCCTGTAAATGTCTTACAATTTAAGACTACACAGTCTGAATGATATAAGTATCATTTAGTTTTGTGTTTGATAAAATGTTAAAATCATACTGAGATACATGTTTTTCTTTTGGCTTTAAAAATAATTTTTGCTTAGTAGTGGGACTTACCAGCTGTAGCACTTTTGACTTCTGATCAGATGCCAATTAATCATTAAGCTCTGATAAAGAAACTATAAAACAAAGCATATAAAGTTTAACAAGCACATTCAAATCTACAGTATCTTCACAAATGTCTTTTGATTTCAAAATAACAACAAACCTTGAAGCCGTTGATTGATCTTCCTTTTTTTTGTGGTTTGTGTTTCAGGTCCGTCACAGCATCTCTGAAACAAATAAACAAGATTATTGAGCAGCTGTCTCCCTATGCTGCCTCCAGTAAAGATATCAGTAGGAAGATTGAATCTGTCAAACGACAGAAAGAAAATAAGGTAAAATACTAAATATGACAAACTTTTTGATTAAACTTGTAGATTTACATGATAATGTCACATTAACATAACATTGATAGTGACTGTCAAAATGATGACAACACCTTTTAATTCAGGAGAAACAGCTAAAGAAAGTCAAAGCCAAACAAAAGCGACTTCAGGCCATTCTGGGAGGAGAGGATGTTGCAAGGGTGGAGGCTGAGCTTCTGGCAGAGGGTGATGATGAAGAGGAAGGTAAGGTGTCTTTTAACCTGTGACTCCCTTCAGTGTACTTACAGAAAGCAGTTTCCACTCATTAATGAGGGGATTTAATACTGAGTCACATGAGGCGTAAATGTGGCGGTCCCCTGCTTTTTATAGATGATGTGAAACCAGGGTCATGTTCATCACTGCCCAAAGTGTAACAAAACAAAGCAGAAATGGAAACAATGCAAAGCATTCATACCAATTGCAGTTACGGTGGCCAAGAAGGCTATTCTGTGGCATTTCTTATTTAAGGAATTGTCAGAGATGATTGTAAGCAAAGGCTTGAATAAATATCGGGTGTTTAAAAATAAACTCTACAGTGCCGTGATGGCTGTCGATGTTCATATATGTTATATCTTCAGCAGATATCACCCTGACACACCCACCAATTTATATGTCAAACATTTTGAAAGATGAGCTGTAATAGGAAGACTGTCACAAATTTGTGCAAAAATATTTTTACACTTAACTCTCCTTTGGTGTTTTTCTTGCAACAGCTGCTGGCTCCTCATTGATGGGTGTGTCAGAAGTGACTACCAGTACACCTATTGTCTAAATCTAAGAGACCCATAATATACAACACTAATCTCTCCCAAACAGCTGTCAATAGACATTTGACATTTGTGTAATGTTGTCTAAAAAAGGACACAGAACTGCATTAATTTGTTACTGTAATAATTTTTACTCACACTTTGCTTCATGATGTCTAACACATAACCAGTTCTGTTTGACACGGACATTATGCTATGTTTTGGTAGAGCTGAACATGTACTGTATAGAAACCAACTCGACAACACAGATGGTTGTGGCTATGTAGCTGAAAAGCAGTTTTGCAGCCAAATGCCATTCAGTGCTGATTTAACCTTCTTAAGAAAATTCCTGATCAGTTCATTGTTCATCAAACAAATGTTGATATAGCTGCACATATGAAGTAAACTCCACACTGTGGAGTTTTCGTGTAAACAAAAGCAGTTAGGTTTTACATGTAGTGTTTTTTTTCCAAAGTGTATTGTGTGCATCCTTAAGGCCTAATAAATGTGATCATTATATTTCCTTCCTTTCAGCTCAAACACTTGAAACAAAAAAAAAGACAAAAAAAAAAAAGTCTGTTCAAACTTGATTGCACATATGAGTCTTCATACACATGTGTGCACAAGATACAAACAAAACAGGGACCTGCTGATAAAAGCACTGCTCCATAATGCTGCTAGTGGTTATCTCAACAGTTCTAACCCTGCCGGATGTGTGTGTTGTACCAGAAGCCGGGCCGTCCACACTGGGCAGCATGCTCATGCCCGCTCAGGAGACCGAATGGGAGGAGTTAATCCGGAAAGGTCACATGACTCCTTTTGGAACCCGAATCCCGCAGAAGGAGGAAAAAAAGGAACCTCGAAAAGTTATGCTTGCTGAGAACTCTGCCTTTGACCTGTACTTGGCGGACCAGGCCAAGATTGCTACTGAGAGGAAGAGACTCCCTCTTCTTAAGAAGAAGATGAGCTCTGGACTCAGCCCTGGTGTAGAGGCCAGGGGGAAAACCAACAAAAAAGTTTCCTCTTCCAAGGATAAAAAAATGAAGAAGCGCATGCGAAAACTCCAGATAACTGCTCTGAAGGCCCATCCGAAGGCTCGGCCCAAGGCTGAGCCACAGCTCTCTAAGCCAAAGACGAAGCGTCACATTGAGGGAGAGGAGACAGACAGCGAGGCATCAGAGTACCTGCCCAGTGACGAAGGCATAGATCCTGACCAGGAGGAAAGAGAAGCCATGGAGGAGGGCTTTGGGGAGGATGATGATGAGGAATATGAGTTGAAACCATACAAGCAAAAAAGTGAGAAGAAAGCGAGGAAGAAAATAAAGAAAAGAGAGGAGAGCGAGGAAGAATACTACCCTGAGAGTTCAGATGGAGAGGAGGGCGTGAAGGGCAAAAACAAGAAAAACAAAGATGATGGAGATGTGAAGTACTACAGACAGAGAATAAGGTATGATCATCTACTTCCTGCTGTAAACTTATATAAATGATTGGTTATGTTGCCCCCCAGTTTTGTTATTTGTTTACAGTGTGTGAACAGTAGATTTCTTCTTGGAGTTATGGTTGGATGCAAAGGTGCTGAAAGTTTTCATCAGGAAGTCTTCTTCTAAAGAGAATGCATACATCGGCGCCTGTAAATGACATGCTCAACAAACACCAGATTTAGCCTTTAACTTTGCATCATATTTGCAATGGCAGTGGTGCAAATGTGCTATTGTTATTCCCTTTAGTTAAGGAGAAAAGCAGTCGCTTTCTGCTGGCTCCATAGTGCAGAAGGAGAGTTAATCCCAGATGAGATTGGCAGCTGTTTCTTGACTAAGCAAATTCACTCCCTGCTCTTCTTCTCTCTCTGCTCTCACACTGGCCTAATTATCCTCCTGCACATGGTTTTATACACTCACTCACTCTAATGCTCAAATTAATGGAAGAGCAGCCCTAATGAGATTTCATATTTATAGCTGCCAAATAAATTGTGTTGGCATGTGTCCTTTTTCTACACTACAGTGATTGAATGTCAATTCAACAGCATAGACACGGCATGGATGGTGAGGCTAGCTTATATGAGGAATGATATTATTAGAGCAGGCGGTATTTGTAGTTGGGTGGGGGGGGGGTGGAGTGGGGGCAGAAAAGTGTAATTAACTGAACCAATGCTTAGTCTTGACTTAATTAGAGAGTGTGGTCTCCCAGGCCCAGCTAAAGGACCAGTTTCGTGGCAGGGTGACAGGACCAGGCCCAAATGAAGATGGATTCTTATCCTCTCCACCTCACACCTTTCTGGGGAACTCGCACTACTAATTGTCTGTATCAATCTTCATTTGCTGCGCGACGACTGTGCCTCTAACTGCCCTCTCTCCTGCACCATTAAAATTGTTCTCCTTTACATTTCCCTTTTTGCTGTAGATGTTTCACCGCTCAAGGGAAATACCCACAACTCAAAACATTTGCTATCCATACACCTGTGTAGGCAAGTCTTAAAATAAATCAGTGGGTGCAAGAGGTGCAAATGGCATATCCATACATTCGGTATACCTGCTCACCCTGTTTCTGGGTTCGAGCTGTGGGGTACACAGGTCACTAGTCTATCACAGGGCTAATGCCAGAGGCAGATCCATCATGAAACTGAATTCATTTGAAATATCTCTCACTTTATCAAGCTTGGATTACCAAATAATGTCAATGTTCGCATGTATAGCACAATGTCAATCACTTGAAGTTAAGACTAAAATATTGTCACTCAACGCTGAAGAACTGACAGCGAACAATGTCAGCTTGAAGATGAGGCAGGTCTTTGTTCTTTGACTTCTCCTTCAGCGAGTTGTGTTCACTAGTATTGACTGAAGCCCACCCAAGAGCTTCACAGTAAAATAGAGAACCATTTTTTAACCGCTAGTTTTACTCTATTATTATGTACTCATTCTCCCGCCAGGAGGTGGAAGCGACAGCGTCTTCGAGAAAGAGAGGAGAAGAGAGAAAGAGGCGAGTTTACAGACGACAGTGATGAAGAATTTGATGAAGGCTTCAAAGTGCCTGGTTTCCTCTGGAAAAAACTTTACAAGTAAGTTCAATGTCCAACATTGGGAATTATCTATTATCCTCGCTGTCGGTCACAGATGTTTATAACTGCCAATTAACAAAGTGATAGGATGTGACTAATAGCTGTAAAACAATTTGTGTATGAAAAATATCTGTGTACTTTCTCTGGTGTCTTGGTCTATGATGCACCCTCTGCTTCCAGGAACCTTTGCCCAGAAATTTAATGATTAATCAAAGATTATTGGATCAAGACATTATAAAAGTGATACACTTAGTGCTGCTATAGCTCAAAAGCTTTCATTGGAAAGTCATTTGTTCTTTCATAAGACTTTTAAGCGTTAACTAGCAGGGATTGACACTTACTGGCAAGCACAATTGAACCAGATTTCAATTGAAATACAGCGTAAATACCAGACCACCCTGTCATGTGAGCACTTCAGTGTCCACAGTTGCCGTCATGCACAGGTGTTGTTAGTTTTTACATGTGTGTATATCACATCATCAGGTACCAGCAGACAGGTGTGCGGTGGATGTGGGAACTCCACTGTCAGCAGGCAGGTGGCATCCTGGGAGATGAGATGGGATTGGGCAAAACCATCCAGATCATCAGCTTCCTGGCTGGACTGAGCTACAGCAAACTGAGGACGAGAGGATCCAACTACAGGTAAACACACACACACACACACACACACACACACACACACACACACAACAACAACAAACTGTGACCAGAGACTGTGTGTCTGTATGGTATGAATATTTGATTAGGGGGATTTCTGCTTGAGAGTGTTCATTTGAATTATTAAACATGTTTCAATTATCAGACTCTTCACTTTCTTACTGCAGACATCAGAGAAAACACTGACACTCTGTTTGTGTGTGTGTGTTTGCGTGCTTGAGAGAGAGAGTGTGTTAGAGTAAAGTGAGCATTTTCATGAACTCTTATAATGAATTTCAGACTCATGAGCAGCTGTGTCACAACAAATCAACCATGGAAAACGTGACGCAGTGGAAGTGATAATCTGGTTTTACTGCACAAACGACACACATGCATTTAGGAGGTGGATGGTCAATACTCTGTCTACTATAGATGCCCACAAATTGATTGCTTGCAAACTCAATTATGGCCAAGTATCAATAGCTTCCACCAGGCAGAGGTTCATACCAGCCCATTAGTGTATCTTTATGCGTGCGTGTGTACGTCTGTGTTTGACAAAGCACTTGTAAATCTTCACAGAGAAGCTGAGCGTGTGTCCATGCACCTTCTTAGATTCATTCACAGAGAGTTTATGGGGCAGTGGAGGTAAATGTACATTATTGTACACAGGCATTCGGCTCTCTCTGTTTACCTTATGCTTGAATGCATGACACATTTGACACATCCATGACACATTTGACAATGTTCTAGAATTTGGTGTAGAAATGATGACTTTAATTTGCTAATGAAATTTGCTGAGGTTATCCAAATTTAAATGAACCCTGACTTCCCTTGTTACCTATCTTTATCACAGGTTTGCAGTTAAACACCTCTGTACTGTGTGTTTGGTTGTAGGTATGTTGGTCTTGGTCCGACAGTCATCGTGTGCCCGGCCACAGTCATGCACCAGTGGGTAAAGGAGTTCCACACCTGGTGGCCTCCTTTCAGAGTGGCTGTTCTGCATGAAACCGGCTCGTTCACCAGCAACAAGGTAATTATGTGTTCATGTGTGTGTGATTTTCATATTCCTAATTTAGTTAGAAAGTTTTCTACAGGGTCTATTTTTCCTCTGGGGGGCACTAGAGGTCTGTTTATGCAGCATTATCTCCTAACCTTCTCCCCTCTTCACCTCTCTCCTCAAACCATATTAAAGTAGATGCCCTACTTCGACACTCAAGCTACCAGAGATAGTTAGGAATTGCACTGACAAAAACCTGTACTGATCATGTTTTTTTGTCCTCTGTTGCAGCAAAAGCTTATTCCAGAGATAGCGGCGTGTCATGGGATCTTGATAACCTCATATTCAGCTGTGAGGAATATGCAAGACATCTTGCAGCGCTATGACTGGCACTATATTATACTGGATGAGGGCCATAAGATCAGGAATCCAAATGCTGGAGTTACCACTGCCTGCAAACAGGTATTGTTTCAAACACAGACACATTCATGAGCACACACATTTTTACCACAACACTTAGAGCATGCAAACAGTAACAACCTTTACATGTAAATACATTTAAAGTTGAAAAAGTAGTACATGCCTTTTCATTTGTATCAGTTATCAAGGTCCGCCCTTTCCACACTCCTACCATTAGAATATGTCGTTTACTCCATTTATACTTAGAACAATAACAAGTATGCTAGGACATCATTAGGAATATATAACATACATTGTTTCCTCCTTCTCTCTAGTTTCGCACTCCCCACAGGTTCATCCTGTCAGGCTCTCCCATGCAGAACAACTTGAAGGAGCTGTGGTCTCTGTTTGACTTTGTCTTCCCCGGCAAACTGGGGACATTACCCGTCTTTATGGAGCAGTTCTCTGTGCCGATCACCATGGGAGGATACAGCAATGCCTCGCCTGTACAGGTACTGGAACACACACAAATTGCACAGTCAGGATTTGTTAGACTCTGCATCTCATTTTTGAACTACAAAGACTAGTTATATGATAAATCCATTAAGAAATGTCCTGCTATTTTAGACTTGGGACACATTTTTAAAAGTTAAGAGCAAAGCAGAAGCAGGTGCAAAGACTGAGCATGAAACTGTCATTGTGCTTTATCGTGTACTTTGGGTTTTATAATTCTATAATTGACCATTTTCATTTCAAATTAAAACAAAGTAGATTAACAATGATTAAAAAATAGAATAGGATAGCACAAAAGGTTATAATGCTTATTTAATTTATGGATTGAATTTAATGAAAAGAGAAGACAAGGATGCATAGCATACATACAACAACCCGATAAGCAAACCTATAACTGTAGCATAGTGAGGGAGCAATGGACGGCTAAAGTGTCACTTGACAGCACTAGCAACACACGCATGTAGGCCCAATTTTGGAGAGCTAGATGAAGGCAAGTCAGAAGGAGAGATTATAGAGCAACAGAGCCATTAAGTGCAGAGCAGGATAATGTAGGTCCATGCAAAGGAACTTCAGTACATCCCTAGTGTGTGTGAGAGAGAGGGAAGGGCTAAAGTGGAGAGCCAGTGAGCTAAATTGTAGCCCTTTGTCATTAGTGCTCAATCGTTAATAACCCACTGACTGTATGGATTTAATTATTTAAGCTGGCTATTGATGCTTCTTCCGCTGTCGATAATAAAAACCTTTACTAATTATTAATGTTATTAAATGGTCAGAGAGGGCTAAGCTCTGCTGCCTTATCCTCCTCTCGAAATTCTCAGAACAGCAGATCAGGCCCTCGGCTGATGTTCATGTGCATGCACAACTAGATGTATGTAACAACGTATGCAGAATGGGGTGGGGCTGGATGTGGATGCAGGATCCATTACTGAAGCATGCGTTTGCATCCCCATGTGAATCCACTCAGCAGCTTGTGCAGAGATCACTGGATCATCTGCTGCCCTGCTCTTCTTCTTTTCCACTCTGACCTCCATTGAGCCTTAAATCTCTCCATGATATTGTCCCCTCCGGCTTTGCCGAGGGTGTCTTTGATCCCTCTGCGGACCCCCACTGAGTTAATGTTTAAAAGGCTAAATGGCCTTTAGCACTGACTCTGGATGAAGTGTAGCAGGGCATTTTGCAGCGGGGCTCGTAGTGCAGGGTGGGACCGAAGCTCCCCCTCTGCTTCCAATGGAGCTGGCGAGTAGTACTGATGAAAGAAGAGGGCTCTGTCCCTCGAGACCAACAGCACTCTGATCAATGCTTAATGGCTCGTGCTACTGAAAGGGACAGCAATGCAAGGGAGGTGATGAGAGAGCGCTAAAACAACAATCATGCCTCAGGAAACATCCACAGTGACAGGTGGGATCGTGGATGCGGTTGCCTGACACTCTGTTGCTATTGTTTTAAAGCAGTTTGTTTGTGTTGTTTTTCAGGTCCAAACAGCATTTAAGTGTGCATGCGTGCTGAGAGACACCATAAATCCTTACCTGCTCAGAAGAATGAAAGCAGACGTCAAGGCCAACCTCTCCTTACCTGACAAAAATGAACAGGTATTCATCATACTAAGACATTTGACCCTGTTCTGTCTAAGTATTGAACAGCCTCTCACGCCTGCTTCTCTTAACTGGGGAGGTGTTTATCTGATTGGATGTGACTGTATGTGCCACGTCTAAGGAGTATTTGATGAATGTGCATGGCCCTTGTCAGGTGAAGCCAGCTAATAAAGTCCTGGTAAAGTAAAAGGAGCAGGTATTCATTAAGGTGGCTGGTCCCTGGTCTGTCCATGCGGCTGACGCTGGTTGACTCCTCAGTCCACTTCAGCTCATTAAGTCAGTCCCTGGGGACAGCAGTGGCTCCAAAAACACGTTGCTTCCCTCTAATTTCTCTTCACACACACTGCACTTCATCAAGGGGCTTTAAAGCGGATGTTCACTGCTTAGTACACACTCTTACACTTCTCTGTGTGTGTGTGTTTTTGTATGTTTGTGTGTGTGTGTGTGTAGGTTCTGTTTTGCAGATTAACAGAGGACCAGCGGCAGGTTTATCAGACCTTCCTAGATTCCAAAGAGGTCTACCAGATACTTAACGGGGACATGCAGGTAAGCCTCTCTTTCATAGTTAAAGTGGGTTCACGGTGTTTGTTTTATGCTTCCTCCATTTGGGCTCTTTGCGTTGACCCATGCTACATTATAAGGACAAGAAGAGCAAAACTCTCAGTCAAGGAGAAGACTTCCAGGAACCGGACTTGCCTTATTCATTATTTAACCTCCTAATTGATGAATATCAGTTCACCTCTCTCACTCACAGGCATTTGTGTTTATTTTTATGCACTCCTTTACACTTAAAGAACACCTTGAAGTAGCATCGGTGGAGTTAAATGTAAATTTTGTTAAACCCCTAATAGCTTGACTTTAGTATTCTTTAAGATGCTCTCTTTAAGGAAGCTGTGCAGTGTCTTCTCACATTAGCTAGACCCTTGAGAGAGAGACTCGACCATTTATCACCACTGACCAAATGGACGTGGTTGGAGAGCCAGGGGTGACCACAGCAGATTGTGCGCGCGCACACACACACACACACACACACACACACACACACACACGCTCTTATAGACATATTCAGTGGTCACTCTTGGTCCATTAACCACCATTACTAATGCAGTGACCGTTGGGCCTTCATCAAGAAACACGGCCTTTATTGTCCGTAAATAAATTATGTAACTAATTCTTGTAGACTAAAGTAAATTTGTTTATTTGTTTAAAGGGGCAACGCTGTAAAATGTTGTAAATATACCAAGCTTTGTGTTTTTTTTACCAGGTTTGTCACCTGGCACCAACTCTTCGCTCATGAAACTAACGGTATTTAAAAATGTTCCTCTTTTTTGTGCTGTTTAGGTGTTCTCTGGTTTGATAGCTCTACGCAAGATCTGTAACCACCCCGACCTTTTCTCGGGCGGCCCTCGGATACTGAGGGGAGTCCCAGAGGACCAGCTAACTAAGGAGGAACACTTTGGCTATTGGAAACGCTCGGGCAAGCTGATCGTGGTGGAGTCTCTGCTGCGCCTCTGGTTCAAACAGGGCCACAGAGTCCTGCTCTTCACTCAGTCAAGACAGGTGAGGAACAAGTTGTTCTGGCTTTTTGTTTGCCCATCAATCCCTTTGCTAAAATAGCTGTTAATATGTAGACTGTTTCAAACCTGACAACATAAACAAAGTCCCTTTGTATTTTCTATTGGGAGTGTTTGTTAAGGCAGCAGCTGACAGGAAGTAAACAGGGACAAATGCTGTTGTCCAAGCAACAGATAGCAATGAAACGGATATTTCTTGTGCATGGCTTGTATAGCTTCTTTACAGTCGCGTAACTGTAATTACCCACAAAATTCAGATGGGGGACAGGAACTGATGAATCTGTAAACCGTGTGAACTGGATATACAGGAAAGGGACTACATAAAAGGTCTGGATGACCTCGTCTTCTAGACCTCCTAACGTTACTAACATTACACAGTGAGCTGATGAAATGTACAAGAGTCAAGTAACTGTAACTGTAACTAAATAGTGTGCCACAACTGAAACAACTGCTCTCTTTTTGGCTGGTTTAGTAATTGCTTGAGTATACCTGTCTTTTATATTTTAACCCTGTGCATGGATGCACTGCTGTCAGACTAATGTTACAAGGTAATGTTAGCTAACTTTTCGGTGCTGTTTTCTACCTAACGGATCAACCATTTCCAGTGGTCTGGTGAAATGCTGTTAAAAATCTGGGTTGTGGCTAAAAACATGGGGAAGTTGTCACAGTACATTGTAACTGCATCTTACTCGAGGCATGTTTAACACAACACTTCATGTTTATGTTTGAGATTAGTTGACTCTGCTCTTCTAGACCGAAGATGGGGGTTTTTGAACGTCATCTGCCGCTGTTTTTCAGTGACATGTTTTTTCCTTTTCCCCATTACCCCTACTATTTTTTGGACTCAAAGTAGCCTTTGTTTTTCCCCAGTTTAATCGATAGGAACAGCCATAAAGAGCGCAAATCATAGGCATTTGTGCAGTGTTGGTGGTCCTTGCCTCCAGTTGCCTACCCACTATTTGGACAGCATACCTGTGTCTTACATCATATGCAAAAAAGCTATAAATGCACTCTGATTAATTTTTGTTTAGGCTACACATGCCATTTCTTTCCTGCTTTAAATTAGGGCTGGGCAATATATCAATATTAAATAGACTTCGTGATATGAGACTAGATATTGTATTAGATTTTGTACACCAATATATCATTACTGCTGTTCCTGCTTTTAAAACCTGCATTAAAGTGATGTCATTTACTGAACTTAGCAGACTGTTCTAGCTGCTCTGCTGTTTTGTCTTTACTTATTTAGTTTTAATATCCACATTACTGTTGTGTAAATATTTGGTGGAAGCACAAATAGTAAACTAAGTATATTCACAGTATTGATAAAGGTATTTGGTCAGAAATATTGTAATTACTGATTTTCACCCACTCCTACTTCAAATTAATATCCTAAATTGTCATGCCACTTGTAAATGTTGTCTCTTTATTTGCTGCTGGCTAGCGGTGTGTGTGTATGTGTGTGAGAGAGAGAGAGAGAGTGTGTATGTAAGCGAGGCCCCAGCTGTTGTAGTCAATACCAATGAGATTATACCTCAGAGGGAACCTGAGACCCTCCCTGTCGGTATCTCTGTCCATGTAATATTAATCTCTCTAATCCTTTTAGAGATAATCCAACCCTCAGCCCTTCTTTTCCTCTTTATGTTTCTCTCCTCGTCTGCCTTTTTCTCACTGTCTCTTTGCCGTCTTTATCTCCTCTCCAGATGTTGGACATCTTGGAGGTATTCACGATGGAGAATAACTACTCATACCTGAAAATGGACGGCACTACCACAATAGCTTCCCGACAGCCCCTCATCGCTCGCTACAACGAGGTAAGGATTATTCATCCCTAATGGCTCTAAGTGTTTCCCATGAAAATCCTGTCCTGAGGGACGGGATGCTTCAGTTGAACCCTGCGCACCCTGAGGTGGAAACGCTAATTGATGACAATCTGTTGTTCGGAATGGATGTACCTTATTGTTTCTGTCAGCAAATAGATTTTTAAATTATAACTAATAAAGAAGTGTGCTCAGATTACCAGTTACGAAAGCCAAGTTTAGATTAAGCTGTTTGATTCTCTTTAAATAGGCTTTAGTTTAAGAGAACATGATGTTATGGCCTCAGAATTATCTAATGTAATTTGTTTATATGATTATACCCCAAGTTTAAAATGTGGACAAGATGTTTGTTAATCACTGACATTATTTTCTTACAGGACAAATCCATTTTTATCTTCTTGTTGACCACTAAAGTTGGAGGTCTGGGAGTCAATCTGACTGGAGCCAACAGAGTCATCATCTATGACCCAGACTGGAACCCCAGTACCGACACACAGGTTAGACAGATACACACACTCAGTAGTACAAAATAAAACATTTACACGGCGCATTATTTCTCAGGGGATTTATTATTCTACATGTGTTATTTGCATCTTTAAATTACCTACATTTCCAGTTGCAGCTTTTCCTGTGTCTCCCTATTTTGTCCTTGTGTACTTTAAGTCTAAAAACCTTGACTGTGTGTTTCAGATTATTTACTTAATCATTAATTTGAATATATTGTGTTTTTTCATAGGCTCGGGAGCGAGCATGGAGGATCGGTCAGACGCAGCAAGTGACAGTCTACAGACTGCTGACTGCAGGGACCATCGAGGAGAAAATCTACCACAGGTCAGATTGCCGTTTTTCTTTTTATGTTCGGCCCTAAGCACTTCACACACACGCAATATTTAATCACAGAACTCAATTAAAAAGAGGTTTTAAAAAAACACACTGGCTTTTGTGTTTTCTTTAACGCAGTCTCGCATTTTAGTTATCTTTCACATGTTCGTGAATAGTGGTAATGACATGACTAATTGCTCACATCACTGCTGTATTACTACCTGCACTATCCCAGTTCTCAGTAATTGAAAAGCTTTCCTGCATTATTAAATGGCCAATCTAGGACTTCTAAACTGTTGCTCTGTTTGGCTTGGGTCTGCAAAGTGCTCTAAAAAAGCAAGTTGGAAGAACTGCGGGGATTCTATTTTGATACATACAGTAGTGCGGTTAACTAATTTTCTCATCCATCAGCCAGACTACTCTGTGGTGACAGATGATCGGGGGTTGCCTGCTGAGGTAAAATAACAAATTACACACGCATATCTAATTCTGTATTTTGTAATTCAGGCAAATCTTCAAACAGTTTCTGACCAACCGCGTTCTGAAGGACCCCAAACAAAGACGGTTCTTCAAGTCGAATGACATTTATGAGCTCTTCACTCTGGCTGACCCCGATGGAGCTCAGGGAACAGAGACCAGTGCCATATTTGCAGGTCTGCACATTTTTCTTGTTTGTCTTTTATTTTGAAATGTTTTATTGTCCAATTATTAGATTATCTGAATCTCTTTTTAAAAATAAGTTTGTAATAATTGACCTAACAGGTATTGTTTTGATTGTCATACAGGTACAGGCTCTGATGTCAAGGCACCTAAGAAGCCTCAGAGGCCAAGGCCATCACACACGGTAAACCATAGCAGTAATAAACACAAACACTCCTCGGCAAACCAGAATGAAACCGGTGCAGACAGCCGACAGTCTGCAGCAAACATTCCTGCATTAAGAGATGGAAACACTTCTCAGTGCAGTAAAAACTCTCCGGGTAAACCAAATGGCCTAACAGACAGTCAAAGCACCGACCGAAATGGCCTGGATGCACAGCCAAATATTTCAGCAAATACACAGCGTACAGGACAAAATAACAGAGACTGGGACGCAGCCAAGCCAGCAGTTAAAAACTCAAACTCATCCAGTTCTCACCAACACACAGACAAAGACTCTGCCCTGACAAGCCCACAGAAACACAGGGAAAAGAGGAAGCACTGCGACTCAGCTGACTCGGACAAACACAAACATAAGAGGCGTAAACACTCCAAAGATTCTCGGTTTGAAGGCCATCGCATCTCTCATTTGGTGAAGAAAAAGACCTATGAGAAAGCGGAGGATGAAGATGAGGCACAGAAGAAATCAGACGATTACGTTTTGGCAAAGCTCTTCAAAAAATCTGGTAGGCTTTTTGTGCATAAACCCCATCAGCCTTGTCAGACATAGTTTATTTGGAAATTCTTGCAAAACAATAAACTGCTTTGTTGACTCTTTTTTTCCTTCAGGTATCCACAGCGTGATGCAGCATGACACCATCATGGAGTCCTCTAACCCTGACTATGTTCTAGTGGAGGCAGAAGCTAATAGGGTGGCTAAAGATGCCCTGAAAGCGCTTAAGGTTTCTCGCCAGCAGTGTAGGCTGGCCTTAAATAGACCCCCTCCTCCACCTGCAAGGTACACAGTCTCACTGACACACTTAGGTTTGTTTAGAGCTCCACCTATGTGAACCAAACATCTCAGTCTTTCCCTTGTCCGCTCTTTCAGGAAACGGTTTGGACAAAAGAATAATTCTCTCCTGGTTGCACCTTCTGTTCAATCTGCCCCCAATCCATGCAAATGCAAGGTAACAGCAGTGTTATTATGAACAGATAGATGGTTTGGCATATGTTATGAATTTGTGATGAAATTTTGTGTCATCTGCTTCTCTCTTTAGGATGCTGCTATTGTAAAGAAGTCTGTGTCAAAGAAGCCTGGTTCGGGCGCTCATTTCAGCGGAGAAGGGATGGAAGGTGACTCAGCCTCCGCCCCGCTCTCCTCCTCCTCCCTGCTGGCCAAGATGAAAGCCCGGAATCACTTCAGCACACCCTCCAGCCAGAGAGAAGACGCAGAAGAAGAGGAGGACGGCTCCGGGGCTCCAGTAAGGAGCTCCCCCCCGGCTCCGCCCACGGAGCATGATGAGCTGTTGGTGGATGTGCGCAACTTCATAGCCTTCCAGGCCAATGTGGACGGACAGGCCACCACCCAGGAAGTGCTGGAGTATTTCAAACCAAGACTGACTGAGAGTCAGGCGCCTGTTTTCAGAGAGCTGCTCAGGAGCATCTGTGACTTCCAGAGGACATCTGGTCAGGAGGGCATGTGGAGACTGAAGGAGAGCTTCCGCTGAGTGAAGCACAGTTGAAAGCGGAACAAAGACTTAACTGTGATGCAGATTTTAATACTTGTCAGTTATGAGTCTGTTGAGATTAAGCCAACAACTTCTTATTGTTTACTTGTCTTTCTTTATTCTTAGTTTATTCTGTCAAATTGAGATATCTGTCTGACAAAAATACATCAGAGCTAGACGGTAGATTGCATCAGCTATTGAAAGCCCATACTGTAGGAATGCCATTTTAGCAGATAAACTCATATTATTATCAGTTAAAGAAGTCTAATCTGTCACACTCTTTGTTTGAGATTTGGGCTTGTCCACGTGTTGTTGCTTCTGTCCTGTTGATTGATTGTCCCTGGTTATACTTGAATTCACTGGTTTTGTATTTGCCAGAAAGTTAAAACTGTATAACCCCGAGTAATGACTTACTCTGAGATGTGTTTTATGCTTTCAGTTTGTCTCACTTGTCACATTTCTATGAAATTTAATAGGGGAGTAAGTGTGTCATTTTGTAAATATGACCAAATCACCACCGGGTTTGGTTGGTTTTGTGATGACTAACTTTTCTTAAACTGTGACCTACCTCTGATTATTTGTGGAAAAAATGGCAAAAGCAGCAATTTATCTGCTTTGTTTTATATAAATAAAAAAATATTGATGCTGTCTTGCATTAATTGTAAGAAATAAACCTCTTAAGCTGATTGTTTTTTTTCCTAGTTTGGTTATTTAAACAGGATTAAAGGAAGATTTATTGAATTAATCCGAGACAATGTAAAAAATAATGATATTTTAAAGGAGATGATCAGTAATGGTAGATACTGACATTTGAATTTAATTTGTTTTTTGCAGTTTTATTTGCCTGTGAAGGTTTGGTGCTGACCAGGGTCCTGAAATGAAATCTGGTACATGACCGTAGAAATCATCGAAACATGGGAGCCCAAAATCTGCCAAACCTGTTTAAAGTTAACTTGTAAAAGTGTTTCTAACCGAGGAAGATGAGTGTGATTTCATTAAGTCACTTAAGCAACCATCAGAGGATGGAGGGGAAAGCCGCTGACAGGAAGCAGACACACACACACACACACACACACACTCTTCAGGCCTGCACTCTTGTCAGAGTTGTCTAGACCAAATATTGGGATAAAGTTATCAACCGTTATTTGATTTCAATTTTCTCCACGCACCTCGCCGAGGTCATAATAACAACTTTATTTTCAGTGGTGCATAAATTAATTACGCGCATTTAATAACTAAAATATCATTATATTCCCCCTTTAATAACATAAACGCTGCACGCCAGGGAAACCCTTAATAGCGCGGGGCCCTGTAACTGGCCATTATCCGCCTGTAATGATATTACAGAACCAATTACGCGCCATTAGAAGGGATTTTCTGCACTTTATGTGGTTTAGTCCAATCCCGCACTCCTCTTCTAAATTTCAGCTGCTTCTCGAAGCCTCATTTTGCCTCCACCTCAGAGACGCATGGCGTCTGCGCTCTGCCGTCCCAGATGCGCTTTAAAACTAATTGAAAGGGTCCCGCAGCAGATCATTTATCTGAGGAAGCGAAATAAATCGCAGGACCCCTTGCTGTGAACAAAATCAAAAATTTGGCCTTGTGAGTGTTCTACATGCGCAACCCCTTGTAAAGTGGACCCCCTAACACACCCTGACGAGCAATTAACCCACCCGACAGTCAATCTAAAACCCAAAAGCAGTCATCCTCCTTTTTTTAATATATGAAAGAACCAAATAAAAAGTGCAGCGGGTATGTGTGCATGTTTATGGTTAGGGAATATGCTTGACTCTGGAATAACAATCACTTGTGATGAATTTTTTTGGCACCAGAGCAGAGCTGCCGTTTGCCACCCTCGGTACATCTCCCCTCTCTGCCTCTCTCTCTCTGTCTTTCTTTGCCACACACACACACACACACACACACACACACACACACACACACACACACACACACACCAGGGGTTGGGGGTGAGAGAGACAAAGCCGTGATAATCCGATTAGGACCAATTAGGCGTGAGATTCTGCGACACTAGCTGAAAGCCTTAACACTCTGTAGACAGTTATACAGTTATAGAGACATCTGGACACTCCCAGAGAGAGACAGTGTGTGTGTGTGTGTGTGTGTGTGTGTGTGTGTGTGTGGCAGGGAGAAAGAGGGGGGGGGGGAGAGCGAGTGTGGACACTCCCAGACAGAGAGTCAGAGAGTCAGTGGAAGTGCAGCAGCCACTTCTCTCCAGAGCGGGAAGTCACTCACATCAGCATCCTCACTGCAGGTAGGATGCTCTCTCACATCAACTTTGAATCTTCCTAAGTCTCGCACGGCTCCGCCTTTCCTCAGGACCATTTAACGTGTTAATTTTTCCAACACAGATCTGAATCGCACACGGTGTAGAGGCTTTGGGCTGAAACTTTTGTCTCTGTTCCAGGTTCGCAGCTCGGAGACGCGCCAGAATGTTCTACTTTCACTGTCCGCCTCAGCTGGACGGAGAGTGCTGTCGCTCCAACACATGTAAGTTTCCTCTCTTGTGTGTTTACAGCATCGTTTTCACCTGATTTCATTCAGCTGCGAGTTATTTTTGATATGTTCTTAAAGCCAGAGTGTGAAAAGTTTTTGTGACGCGCACTTGCGCGCACAAAGTGTGTGTTGTTGTTGGAGGAGGACCGAGAATATAGGCCTGAACTGTTTTCTTTTTTCTTTTTTTATGATCATTATTAATTAATAATGAAAATGACACATGCTTATAAAAGAAAAAGTTAATTTTATGCAGTTATGAATAAAAAGATTTAAACCCGCAGTTCGTGATCGCCTTAACAAGACGATAAAAACAGATATTTTCCATGTTCCAAAATTGAGTTGGCTGCATTATGCATCTCCAACAGCATCTAAACGAGCGATTTATTTCTCTTACACACAAATTCAAAGGTGGATTTAAAGGGTTAAGTCTGATTTTCCCTCTGCTATGTCAGTCTGCTGGCTGTTTTGGTGAAAAGCGCTGGTGGTTTGGCCCCGGGGCAGGGGGGGCGTTTTGTCCCGGGCACAGATGTTGGGTGTCATGGCTCTTAGTCCGTCATGGTTCCCCTCAGACACCCAGCATCAATGTTTCATGCAACTAATGGAAATACAAAATGTGCCAGAGATCTTGTCTGCTTTGGCCAAAAATTATAGTTTGTTTCTGCGTTTCCTTTTTTAAGATGTAAGCTTTCCTTTTATAAAACACATTTAATGAACTAAATTAAACACAAATATTGAATTTATCTAATTTTATTGAGTGACTGAATTCTCTCTAATAAACTTTCTTTTTTTTTACAGTGAATTCAAGCGGCTTTGGGAACCACGCCCCGGCTGATTTTGATGATGGATTTCTACGTAGAAAACAGCGCAGAAACAGAACAACATTTACTTTGCAACAGGTAATTATTTTCCAGGACAAAAATATCAGTTATATGAAATAAAATTGAGCTTCACTTAAAGAGAAACAGATAGGGCTACTAAACTAAAACCAGATAAAGAATAAAACACTTTGCAAAGTTTTCAAAATGAAGGACTTGAATGTTTTTATCACAGACACAAAAATAAAACTTTTATAATTGGTCTGATGCGATAACGACCTATAAGAAGAAAAAATCAACATTGCTTCACACATATGAAAATAAATATGCAAGAATTTCCTATCTGTCCTTTTGAAGATCATGCGTGGGCATAACTGTAAATTGCCCTCTCTTTGCAGGCAATTAGATGTTAGGCTAATATGTAAGATTATTTTCGTCTTTTTACAGCTGATAGTCTGTTATCTCTGTCAGTGTACAAGCGAGGGGGGTTTTAACCAGCATATCTGATGATAATATAAAGGAAGAGAAAGAAAGAGAAGCATGAATAAACAGATACAAATAAATAGATCAATAGAAAATAAAGTTATTAAAACTCAATCTTGTGTTTTGTGTCCATGCAGTTGGAGGCACTGGAGGCCGTCTTCGCCCAGACTCACTACCCGGACGTGTTCACCCGGGAGGAGCTGGCCATGAAGATCAACCTGACCGAGGCCAGGGTGCAGGTAGGCTGCAGCAGCGTAATGTGTCCTGCGCACGTTTGACCATGCAAGAGAGGGTAAATTAAGCCACTCTGTCATTCCGGCGATGTACTTTAATAACATCAACATAATGGTGAATATTAGATTAGCTTGATTAATCGGTCATTCATAATTAACCAGCGATAATGTTCCTCACTAATTTGTCCGCGTCTCAAAGGTAGGAATACATCATCCATGCAGATCCTTTCCCAGTTACGCAGACAGAAAACGGTGTGTGCTTTAAAAAAAGAGGGCAAAGCCTGCAGCCTCCAAAACTCTCCTTCTCTCTCTCTCTCTCTCTGTCATACACACACACTTTAAAGCACAAACACACACCAAAAAAACCTCACACACGCACCTTAAATTTGGCAATTTATATTCCGGTCCTGCCCTGCACATATGCGCGGTTATAAACTTGGCCAGATGTAATTAAGTTATGTGTCCTGTATGTAATTTCCTGCATTCCAGATTTGCTTTTGGGTTTTGTTGTGCGCACAGATCTAATTGTGGGAAATATAATAGTTTGCCTTTTGTTCCCCAGGGTCATCTTACTATCGCTTAAACCCAATGGCGGGGTTGATAATGGAATCCAGCGCTGTAAATTAGGGATTGTAAACAAATTATTCCCCTCCTAATCCGATTACCACATTCCTATTATTAAATCTGAACATGAATCCGCCGCAGTATGCAGGGATATTAAACTTACATTATTATTAGAAAATAAATTTCCTTTCTGTTGTAGTGTTATTGCCCCCCTTTTTGTAAAGTGTCAATGGGCCTCCCCCGCATTAAGAGCACGCTGCAAATTGAGATTAATGGAGCAATTATAGCCCATTCAGAGACGGGTGTGTGTGTGGGGGGGGCGCGACTTCTAGCTGGAAGGTGCAGGGGTGAGATAAGTCCATTGGTTGTATTGTTGTCCTGCCACCAAAATGTTGTCCTTTCTTTATGCCGAATGAATGCAAGTGTTTTGTTTGGCTGTTGACATCATTTATACCTCCGCTACAATAGGAGGGATGCAGAGCACATGCACACCGACTCTAACCTCCATTCACACATCATGATTAATGCCTGCTAGAACCAAGTCCTAATCGAATCTGATGTTGTCAAACAATCACTAAATAGGGAAATAAACGACTTCATCATAGCTGCCTCTCTCTCGGGCAGCACAACTGTCAGTGGGAAGTCATTAAAATATGATAATGAAAAATTGCTCAATTAAATGTTGTTATAGGCAGTGACCTTCATTCGATTAAGATACCAGAACTTGGCTATATGTTCTCAGCTGTGTGGATGGTGAAGTTTTGGGGATAAGTATAGGGACTGTGGGAAATTAGAGCGCTCATGTGACACATTCAAACACCTCTTGATGTACAAGACAAATCAAAGCAAATAGAGCATTTAGGAAAATGTCACATGCATGCTTTAAGTTTGCATTTGTCTGTCTGTGAAAAGAAGATATTAAGAACTTGGTTAGAATCAATTTAGCATGGGTATGAAGCTAAATTCAATAAATAAAATAAATGGATGCCAACTGCTAATGTGTCAGGAAATGCAGCCATTTTCCAGCTTTAATTGGTGATTTAATTTAATTGTCTTCTCGT